AACATCGCGTGCGCATTTTTCCCAGAAATTCGTGGACATTACTGGACCCGGGTTTCAAGAATGTGTTTGTGTACGTTCGGGGCGGCACGTATGTCAAATCTTTTTTTGCTGGGGGCTATTAGATCTAAATCCGCGAGCAATTAACATTTTTGCATAATCAGCCGTTTCGGTCTTGTTCGCGTTTGGGATGGTTTTTGTATTATTGTTACCGCCCACGTCGCGTGCGTTTTTGGTTTGAATCCCTGCGACGCTGATGGGATGTGCTACCAGCTTGTATTTTTATCCAAGGTTTTTAATTTTCCTACAGCCAGAAACGCGAGTCAATGACTCGACCTTCATCTTTTAAACTCGTTGACATTTTGGGGCCACTTGGCCAATCGATGCAAAATATCAAATAAGCTAATTAAATTAACAAAAAAGTACAATTAAAGATCTTCTAATAGGGTATAATTTGGTATTAATAATATTACACAAACTAAGCAACTCCCTGTGTTCAGTTATATGGATTTTGCAATATCTATGGTTAATTGAACTAAGTAATAAAAACAACATGTTGAGAAGGTCAAAATAGAAAGCCTTTTTGGACTGAAATATGACAAAAGTTCATTTGATATTAGAAGTCCATTTAATATGCATTAGATATGTCAAATAGTGTATACACTCAAAGTAAAAACAAAAAATAAATAAAAAAATAACCGAACACTCATGTTTTGTTGTTTATTTCAAACTATATGCATTTTTATCGTTATATTAATTACAACATACTTATTTTAATGTAAACCAAATTAAACGAGATTAGAAATTTACAAGTTTTAATAAAAATTATTTAATTATGGTTTGAAAGAACATTCACCAAAACACCGGAAAATCATTTAGTGATTTATTGATTTATTTTACCTACCTCCTCTGGACTTGCGGAGGGTCTTAAGTCTCTTAGGCATTGAGTAAATAAGCGACCTGATTTCGCCTTGGAAAACTGAATTCTTCAACAAGAACTCCAATACCATACACACTGTACTTAAGTATCCCACGTCATAAGTCATAAGATCCTGGTTTTGACCTGATCATTGAAAAAAATCGTTCGACACTTCCCTAAAAAAAGCTGTAGTTTTACCTACCTACCTTTACATCTTCTTCCTTTCATCTTCGAACAAGAAACATCCCCATCTCTATTGAAATTTTCCCTCATCAGTATAATTTTAAAGCTTAAAAAACCTCAGGACCATCGATCATACTACTGCCCAATTAATCAGCTGTCAATATTGGGCAAAATCCTTTTAAAAAAAACTCCTGATTAAACACATTCTCCCAATTCTTCATTCCTACAACCCTATTCCTGACCACTAGTTTGAGTTCAGACGTTCTCATTCCACCATTCAACAGTGTCATCGCGTTGTAGACATCTTGAGCGAAGGGAGTGCTGCTAAGGTTTATTTCTAGATGTGAAGCAAGTCATTTATCGGATATGGAACATTGTACAGATGCAGGGGTACCCCAAGAAAATTTCTGAGGACCTATCCCCTACACATTTACACCGCAGACATTCCTATTTCCTACCCTTGGCGCAACGAACCGGATGCAGAATTGATGTACTCTTTTTTAGTTTAGAGTTTTTCTCTCATAAAGGTCCCATCATCTCAGGCAGAAACTTGTAAATCAATCTCACAAATCTTGAGCAAAGGTTCAAACGGTGGAAAATGACAGTAAACATACAAAAATGTGAACATGTAGCTAATGTGATATGTGCAAGCTAATGAAGTCGATTATCTTGGGCTACATTGACAAACGACTTACATGGGCCTATCATCAAAACTATATAAATTAATTTATATCATAATTAAAACATACTTAATCTCACATTCCATCCCTCACGATCTTATAAAAGAGACTTGGCTTAACAAAAATCACACAGAACAAACAATGAACTCGGCGAAATGTCAAATCGCATCTGACTGACCAACATAGCGAGGGTAGGCAGACCAAAATGATCGGTAACGACCAAATTAATAGGTTCATCACTCCGCAGACCACACAGAGAAATCTTCCAACTTTATAATTGTTAACTGAAAATTCCTTCACAAAATTGATATGCACAAGGAATAAAGCAATTAGAAATGAAATATCACGTCTGATTAATTTGAGAAAAAGGTTATTTTGAATAAATTACTAATATGACCAAATAAATCAACTTCTGCTAATAGGATATAAATGGGTATTAATAATATTGTCTTTACTAGCTCCCTACATTCAATTCTTGCTGTTCAGATCGGCGTTACCAATGAGTAATTGAACTTTATCGAATAATAAATAAAACATTATGGCCGGGAGATGGGTAAAATTAAAGTTAAAAACTAAAACCGAAATTTAATTCTTTGAATAATTCGAATGAAGTTATTTTTTCATTATATTAATATTCTTCTGCGCTGTTGTGGGAAATGATCAAGTCTGACTGCTTATGAAGGCTACGTTTCTCCTTTTGTGCCGCCATTTTTACCGTTTCTATTTATGACACCTCAATTATCATTGGTTACACAACAGCCTCATCACCCTCGTGTTTGGCACGATAAATTATACCTTCTATACAAGAAAAAAACAAACAATAAAAGTGTCCAAACATGGAAAACCAAGAGGAAAAAGGAAAATTTACCTTTATTTTTCAAGGTTTATCGCTTAAAAAAAGGCAGCTAAGACAGACCTTGTGAGGATATGCATTTGTAATGATTTCCTTATCTTCTTCATATTAAAAAAGTTATTTGACATTAAATCATGTGTAAAATGTCTTCCTACAAGTCCATCTTTCCTCATGTGGGACTTTAGATCGACAAAAGACTTACTTGGAACCCCTAAACTAGATTCAAAATAATAAAACTACAGAAATATATAGTACCCAATAGACTACTTGACAATATCGAATCTCCCAATACATAATATTATAATATATTTGTACTACAATCTGGAAATACGGATGTGAACGGAGGGGTTCAACCAACCAACTTTAGTCGATAAGCCTTTGAACCATTGCGCAAACGCTTTACTTTTTATCCAACCTTTCTTTTCACACAGACCTCCAATTCCTCATGATTTCGAAATCGCAAGAAGTTGATACAGACTCCTCCTGGATCTTCATCCCGACCCCGACACCTTTCATCCCTAACCTACCCTGACGACGCCTAAAGAGCAAATGATCTCGAAATTTCCTCCCTAGTGAGGAATGTGTATACTGCTGTGATAGAAGTGTAACTAAGAGTTACTTGTCTACAATTGTAATAATAAAGCTTGTAACTACCTATCGCTGTTGTAACGTAACAATAAAAAAATTTAAATATATTTTTTTATTTACTTTATCATGTTGACGTGTCATCTAGTAATCTTTTTTATTTTTTAAAAACATGGGGATCCCTAACCATCCTACCTATCTTATTTTCGACTAAGCATTGCTTTAGGTATTCGCTTTAGTAATATTCGAAATACATTTAATGAAATTTTACGAAATTGACTCCACTTAATTGTATAAGTATAATAGACAACATTAACACGACAGTTAAGTCACGTTAAGTAACTAATGTCTTAGTAAGTATGGTGTTGTTCTGTTATACTCACTGAACGTTGAGGTTAAAAGGCTCAGTCATTTTACGACCTCGACCAATATTGGTCTATTGTGAAATCTCCATTATCTAGAGATCTTCGTTAAACCTAAGGATTTCCTGTATATACTTCAGACACACTGAAGATGGCAAAATGCATAAATACGTCTGACAAACCTAAATGAAATGTAACGATCAAATTACAAGCTCAATATTAGTACGTACTTTATTCCTCATACAAATGAACAAAAATCTACGTATTAAATACACCGATGATGCAGCCCATGGTGGGATGGCGATCCTAGTTTACACAACTGCTTTATTCACCCTTAAATTTTCTCAAATCGTCATTTATTCATTTAACTTTTTAATCGCACCTGTTTACTGTCCTACCACTAAACCTGTTTCCCAATAAATATTTAGTTGCGTTTTTAACACTTTTGATCCTAAATTTATCGGTGGTGGAAAATACATACAAAGCACCATTAATATTTTATCATACATTCTACGTAATAAATGTGACGGTTAATGAATTTTTTCCGGTTTATGTATTAATAAAAGGAGTCCTCCATTGTTCGACCAATCCTTAAACCTAACAAACCTCATTACTATCCAAATTCCCATCACTCTATCAGCTTATAACAATTTTTGGAAAAACTCTACAAGCAAATTTATCCCACTCTCGAATTTTTTAATATTATCCCGGTCCCTTCAATTTGGTTTCAGGCATCACCATTCTACTTTACACTAGTGCAATCATGTTGAGGGTATTATTGCATGTTCTTACTGGAAGAAATGCTGCCCAGTGCTTTTTCTCGATGTGGAAACAGGTTTTCAGTCAAATCATGGTTTACTCGAGAGGCCGTAGGGCATTCTACTACCATTTATACCCTCTTTTAGAGTTTAGGTTGAATCTTCTTCTTCTCCTTTGCATAGGGATGTAGGAGTTTCACATGTGGACCTGGGTCGGTTGATATACACAGTGCACACTGCCACTTTTGGCACTACGATTCTCATATTTGACCGCAATATTTACATTAACGAAGCCATTACATTTACATCAACCCCTCTATGCATTGGACGTACAAACGGCGCGTTATTCTAAAAACCTAAATCCAAAAGCATAAATTCTACTCTCCGACGCATACGTCGTCCGTTACTGTGAGCTGTAAATAGCCAGGCGAGTTACTCAAATCGAATCCTCATACACGGCTTACAAGCACAGAACTGAATCAATGCTTGTGACTAATTAAACGTCTACTATGGGATCAACTAAACCTTACAACTAAGTGAACTAATATGAAGCATGATCTATTGTTAATGTACCACTAACTTAAGCACACCTTCCATATAAAAGAAATTTAATGGTCACGTTTAATAAATCATAATAATTAATTTGTGTTTTAATTGTTTCAGGTCGTCCGTGCTTCTACAAGGAAATACATCACCATCTGATTAAGGTAAGCTGCAACACTCGTTTCACATTTGGGAATAGAAAAAAAGTAAACACATTTAATTCTATACTCTGTATTGAGTATTACATTTCACTCTAGGCATTCATTTAAGTTGGGGCACTTAGAAAAAGTTGTGCTACTAGGTCTCTAAGTGCATAAGCTTCAAGCGATGTCATAATTCTTGGAATATAATCGACTTCATAAAATTGCTTTGCAAGACAAATTACAATTAAAATATTAATATTGTTACTATATTTATTCATAAAATGAAAACAGTTGAATATCTCGATGCTTGTTTTAGATAGGTAAGAGTTGTCTTTTTTGAACAATTCAGTTATTGAGATTTCTATTGAGGGTTGAAGGGTTTAGGATTAAATGGAGTTCATTCAAATTAACTTGTATACAACTTTTGACACAATTGTTTATTAATTTAAATGTTTCTGTAATTCAATTCAATCATTTCTGAGAATGTTATTAGATGAAATGATGATAGACAAAAAATATCAATTCATAGTTCACTCTTTTTTTATTGGAATTGACAAAAATATCCTCAATATCCTCGATTTCTTCAAATAAAGTGTCAATTAAACAACCCTCGAACATCTAGAAGAGAAGGTCTAAACTATTTTGTTTTGTTAGATATATTTCTGAAGTCTGTGGTAATGAAGCTGAATTTCTATCATTTCCAATAATTCTGGTCCGCTTAGTCTCACCGGTTTTGTCTCTAAGTCTCGTTTCGACAGTTTATTTTGTGTATTGATTGTTAAAAAAATAATCAAGAATAAAATTGATCCATCTTTCGATCTTTCTCTCTAACGTGAATAGAAATGAAATGATGCTTTCAACATTATGTTTGAAAAAAAATCGAAAAAATAGTCATTTTGTTCAAATAGATTTACGTAAAACAAATTTTTTGTTATTATTTACAATCATCTCAAGCAAAATGGGTAATTCCGATTATCCTGATCCACCAACCTTGCTGTTTTTGGTTTATTGCCATCTTCAATGGTGAGATTGTCGTTCGCTTAGCGTATGTTAAATTAATCTAAGTTTTAGCAAAAATACATCTTTCAGACACAAATTAAAATTTTTAAATCAGTTATTTGAACGAAAAACATTTTCTCAGCCAAAAACTCAATATCCTTAATTTGTTTATATATTGTCGATCAAACAACCCTCATATCTCTAGACCAGAAAGTTTAAAATAATAATTTTAGACTATCTTAAAGTTTGAGATCTCATGAATCTGTAGTTTTCTAGTTTCCCACCATCCGCCCAGTCTCGCCGTTTTGGTATCTGAACGCGAAAAAACAACCAAAATTGGATAATTTATATAAATTTTATAAGCATTTATTTTAAAAAAAATACATTTACGATAATTATGTGAAATTTTCATCATCCTGGTTTTTATATGCCTCAATATCTTGGTCTCTGAGATCTTTTCGTTTTTTCTTCGTTACGCCATCTTTACGGATGGGTTTGCCGTTCAAAATGATTTTAGAATGTTAGGACGAAAATCATTTATTTATTTTTATTATTTTTTTTTATGGACCTTTATTCTCAAAGGGAATTCAACATTATTTTTGATCACAAGATTTTTTCTTGAAATCTGAGCGGTCCTGATGGGGTTCACCAAGTCTCGTTGTTTAGAGATTCTGTGATGGGTTTGTCCATCAAAATTATAAAGTAATTTAGAAGATGATATTTTTGTGCAAATAAAGTTTCGTAATATTTATTATTATATTAATTATTAATTAATTACACTGATTTACTCTCAACTCTATGAAAACGGTCCATTTCTTCTATCCTGGCACGTCTAGCCTGTGGTAAGATTTTGGTCAGAGCAGTCATGAACTTTGGAAAAGGGAGAATATAATTTACTCAAAGGTGAATTTAATTTGCAAAAGTGTGAATTATTCAGCAAAAGAGCGAATTTAATTTGAAAAATAGTGAATTTAATTGAAAAAAAAATGGTGAACATAATTAGTAAATGAGTGAATTTAATTAGCAAAAGAGTGAATCTAATTTGTAAAAGGGCGAATTTTTATTTACAAATCGGGGAATTTAGTTTACAAAAGGGTGAATTTAGTTTGAAAAAAGTCTATTTTAATTTTCATTGAATATAATTTTTTTTAAAGTGAATTTTTTTCATTTTTATCGTTTACAATCTTTTTGTGGGTGTTTGTGGTTCGAAATAATAATTTCAGGATGAAAATGTTCAATTTGACATACATTGTGCGCCATACATTCTTCCCAATAGTTATTATTTTACTATCAACTCTAGGAAAACTGCCTTTTTCTACCATCCTGGTCTGTCTAGCCTTAGATCTATCCGGTCTGAACCTGTATTTTCCCATTTACAAATAAATCATCCTGGTCCTCGTAGTCTCAATGCTTTAGTCTCTCAGACTCGTTTCGATACTTTTTGTATGTGTTTGTCGTTCGAAATAATAATTTTAAAATGTTCAATTTACTTACATTGTGCGACAATCTTTCTTCCCAATGGTTGTTATTTACAATCAACTCTAGGAAAACGGCCAATTTCTACCATCCTGGTCCGCCTAGCCTGGCTGTTTTGGACTATTATGCACTATTCTGCACATCGCCATCTTTTGTCGTTCAAAATAAAGATTTTAAGCTGGAAATGACAAAACTGCTACTATTTACATAACAATAGATAATCTAAGAGCAGAAGTAGCACAAAAATATTCGGGAAAAAGTTAAAATAGTTTGTCAGTTATTTGAAAGAAAAATATAATTTTAATTTTTACTTATTTAATTTATAAAGCTTGTGAAAAATCTAATGAGTAAATCACATGTCGGTACATTTTTTTCGAACCACATTTTTTTCTTTTTCTGTAGTTGTTTGGGGAATGATGAAATCGGTCGTTTCCAATCATCCTGGTCACCGCTTAGTCTCGCTCTTTTAGTCTACCAGATGCGTTTCGGCGTGTTATTTAAAAAAATTCTTTTGTACCTTAGTGGAATTTAAAAATATAAAACATTTTAAAATAAGTTCACAAATGAATGAAACAGGCCGATAAACAAGAATCATCTTAAATCACAAACCTATTGATTTTCAATAAATTTCTTTACTGTTATTGCTGTTTCCAACCATTGTTTGGCATATTTTATACAGTGTTTACGGGAGAGTCTATTTTATAGTAGGAATCGATGAATCAATCAATCGTGTTCAGAGGGGATGAGATGATGCTCTGTGGCAGATCTTTCCTCAAGCTAGTTTCAAGTAGTAGGATCACATCTCTCGCTAGGAGCTCCTATTAAACTAAAACCGGTATCCATAGCGCACAGCATCCCTCCCATTCCCTGGATCGATCAACTTTCCCATCGAAACCCACCAACCCCGTTTACACTTTACAAACGGGCCTGATGCCGGTAGCCCAGTCTACTGGGGTATTTCTGTCGGTGATGTAGTCGTGAATTTGTTCCTTAAACGGCTTACGCGTTTTTATTTACGATTTATATTTCACTGACAAGAGGATCCGCGGGCCAAAACCTGACTTGGCAAAAGTGCATTCTCTATACCCAGCTCGATGCATAGACAGACGTGGCATTTTTCATCCATTTTTAGAAGTTAAAAAGCCTTCCTTTTTGATAGGCTTGATAAGTTTCAACGACTAATTACTTTCGAACTTTCATTTAAGGCTGTCATCAAATGCTGATCGTATAAAAACAGGACAAAAGTAAAACCTGTACAATTTTCAACATACTTTTAAATAAAATAATATTTTTAACGTAGCTAATACTGCGGCACGTTTCGTTTTTACACAGAGTATTTCATAATAATATTAAATAACATTATTTGGAGATTCCATCCCAAAACAACAAACCAACATTTAATTTAATATCAATAGAAACTTTAATATTTATATGTTAAATAATTGTATTATTGAGCCTAATTTCAACGTCAGGATTTAGTAAATACAACTATGCAGTCCTAAGAAATTAGTTTTATTTATGTAGATCAGCGAAACAAATATTAAATAATCTTATTTCGTGGCCCAAAATATCATTTAATCTGAGAAGAAATTAATAATAATTAGGGGCGTTGTAAATTTATTATAAAAGTTGATAAAAGAATGAAAATGAAATATGAAAATCCTCTAATAAACCTAATAAAAATTAGCTTCGATTTTTGACATTTAACAACATTCAACATATTGATAATTTGACGCAAAACAAATATTCCAGAAAATAAAAAATAATAAATAACCTTTTTCGGTTGCTATGTCAGAATGACAAATTAAAAAGTGACCTTTTTGTAAGTGTTGTTAATTAGAATGAAAGTCTAAAATTACGGCTTATGAAACTTTACTATCAGTTTTTTTTGTATTCGGAGAACAAAACAGCGAGACCAGCGGACCAGAATCATTGGAAACTAAAGAACTTCAGTTCATAAGCCCAGACTTCAAGAAAAATCTTACAGACTAAAATAATTAATTTAAACCGTCTGGTTTTTGGATAAAAAATACGTTGATTTTTCTTCTTAATGAGATTATTATTGTACATGAAGAAATCAGACATATAATCACAATAAACAATCCGTTGATAAAAAAGTGTGTTCCATTATTCTAAAGAAATTAAGGTTTTTTGGTTGAGATAAAAAAGTCAGTGGCACGAGCGGGATTCGAACCCACGATCTTCGGCTAGATACGCCGCTGCTCTACCACTTGAGCTATCGTGACCTCGATCCACTCGGACACTAACTTCCCATCTCAATCCCACCTTTTGAATTTTCCCTCTTTTTTGCCATTTTTCCCTCCTTTTTTATCTCAACCAAAAAACCTTAATTAATTGTAATATATTAATTGGTCAAGCGGACCACGAAATTAGTGAATTTAATTCTAAAGAAAATTGGTCATTTTATCCCAAAATTATTATTTTGACCAACAAATACATAATTGAAAATGACCATTATTCTGTAGAAAATTGGTCAGTTTTATCTCAAAATTATTATTTTGAACAACAAATACATAATTGAAAAG